CCACCTGTGGTCATGAGGTGTGGCCACCAGCATGACCTTTATAAAGTCCCACCCTGGCTTCCATGAGGGCCCACCCCGCCTGGCTCAGTCTGCTGTTATAGCCGCCTGCCCAAAGCTGCTCTCCGTTCCTGCACAGCAGGCCTCTTCCAGGCCAGGGCCTTTGCACAGGCTGCCCCTGCACCTGGAATGCCCTTACTCTTTCGTGTTCATCTAGCAAACCCAAGCCCTTGGTCACTTGCTTGTGAGGGGAGCCCCACCGAAGCTCCCTAAAGCTACGGCCTCCCCCCTGGATCCTTCTGCTCTTTGGGCCACTTTGCTCGAACCAGAGAACCACCTAACCTGTGTGAGGACTCGTGTTTAGTGTCACACACTTCCTTGACTCCTGGGGAACGCATGCCCGGCTTCATGTTAAGGGAGAATGGAGGTCACCCCACAGGCAGGAGGCTTTCCTCATCACTGCCCGCCCCCTGGATGTCTCTGAGATGGTCTCTGACTGAGCACCTGCATGTCCATTTGCCGTTGTTATCTGTGGTGGCACCCAAACTTCCGTGTCCACATGAAGTTCTGCACAGGCTGTGCACAGGAGAATCATGGGTGGTCTTAGACATTAGGCAGAATAATGGTTTTCTCCAAATGAACATCCTAATCCATGGAACTTGTAATGTGCAGTCCTTCCTCCATATCTGCGGGTTCCACATCCATGGAGTCAACCAACCACGGATCAATATTCAATAAAAGAAATGTTATGTTGTGCAGAAACCGGTTTGGCTCAGCCTGCAGACTCAAGGGTCCCACATTCAATTACTGTCAAGGGCATGTGTCTTGGTTGCGGTGCAGGAGGGGTGTGCAGGAGGCAGCTGATTGATGTTTCTTTCTCATCGGTGTTTCTAACTCTCTATCCCTCTTCCTTCCTCTCTGTAAAAACCAATAAGATATATTTTTAAAAAGAAATGTTATGTTGTTACTGATATGTGCTCTGTAGTTAGGTCTATGATGTGTCTGTACTGAACAAGTACAGACTTTTTTCTCCTCATTAAACAATACGGCATAACAACTATTTACACAGCATTTACGCTGTATCAGGTAATGTATGTGATCTGGAGATGATTTCAAAGTAAACAAGAGGCTGTCCATAGGTTATATGCAGTTACTGTCTACTTTAATGAGGGACTTGAGCGTCAGCAGAGTTTGGTACGGGGAGATCCTGGAACCAGTCTCTGTGACGGAGGGGAATTAGGTTACTGGTCAGCCTACCTTAAGACGGAAGGATATCCTGAATATCTGAGTGGGCTCAGTGTAATCATAGGCTCCTGAAAAGTGGGAGAGGAGCCTGTTTTCCTCAGTGGACTGAAGGGTCATGGGTTTGATTCCGGTCAAGGATACGTACTTCGGTCGGGCACCTTCAGGAGGCAACCAATCGATGCGTCACTCTCTCATGAATCTTACTTTCTCTGTCTCTCCCCTTCCCTTTCACTCTCTCTAAAATAAATAAATAAATAAATAAATAAATAAATAAATCAATGGGAAAAATATCCTCAGGTGAGGATTAACAACAACAAAGTGGGAGAGGGAGTCAGACAAGGAGTGTGATAGCAGGAGCAGGGCGGGGCAATAAGATGGCTGGATATGGAAATGGAGGAAGGAGCCTCAAGTTAAGAAATGCCATCAGTTGTACTTATATGCATGTAAAACTCTGGGGAGGGAGGGGATATAGGGGAGGGGAGGGCAATGTTAAAATATGTACACAGATAATAATTTAAAAAAAAGAAAAAAAGAAATGCCATCGGCCTCCTGAAAAAGGCACGGACAGACCCCAGAGCTTTGGAAGGAGTGCGGCCCGGCAGACACTCCAAGGTCAGCTCACAGAGATCCACGTTAGACTTCTGGATTGCAGAAGTGTAGGAATAAGTGTGTGTTGTAATGAAGCCACTCAGTGTGTAAAGATTTGTTTGGCAGCAATAGGAAGCAAATGCAGAGATAATTACACTGCCTTTTTGCCTGATGTGGGTTTAGACTCTAACCTCTCACAAGGTGCCATGTCGCTGTATTTGCACATCTCTTTTCTTCTCCAGATGTAAACTAGGCGAGAGCCCAGCCTTGTATCACGTCTCTCTGCCCTGAGCAGTGCCTGGCTCAGAGGAAGCGCTCAACTGACCAGCTTTTTGATCTTCTTCCTGCACGTCTTCTCTCTGAGCAGCGGCAAGATGTTCTCTCGCTTTATTCTGAGAATCCTGGTAGTGCCTAGTTCGGGGCTGAGCAGCTATATGTATTGAGTAGAGATAGGGAAAGGGGGCTGTCAGATCCATGCCCCAGGGGGCCTCTGCCCTCTCCCTGGTCCACCCTCGTATGGCACACCCCCTCCCGGATGAAGCAGACCCAGGGCTGGCACTCTTCCCTTTGGTAACGTTGCTCTAAGACTCACAGCACTGGGAGGGCAGAGATACGAGCTTTCAGTAAGGCTGCTGGGCCTTAAATCATGCCTCTGATGGGAAGGAAGTGTCCTTGCTGGTGAAAAGCCTCATGTTTGGCTTGGATCTGAAGCTTCAACTACTCTTTCTAACATGCGTATTTCCCCTGCGCTCCATGCCACTGGAGATTATCTACTGCTGAGTTACTTAATGCTGCAGGGTGGGCGTGGCCTCCCGTAGGATGCTGCAACTATGCCTGAGTTGTCCAGTTGCTTTGCTCCTGATGCTTTGTTGGCTGGTCATTAGCCCACTCTAGAGATGTTCAGCACGTTCTGGGCACAGGAACCCCTTCTTCAAATGAAACTGACATGGATTTGCAATAAGAAAAAATAAGATGAAAGTGATTGTTTATTGGTAAAGTTTTGTAAGTTCAAATTCAAAGCATTTGGCTCATTATAAAGTCAATCAGAGAGAACAATGATGCTTTCTTTATGAACACAAACTGAACCAGGGTGTGCTTGACAGCTGCAGCCTTCTATCAGCCTCAGCATCCAAATCACTTCCCGTTTAGGATACATTGCTCAGTGTCAAGCAATCCTGCTTCATAAAGAGAAGAACTAGCAAATAGCCAAAGTTTTATAAGAGCCTTCCATGTGATATTGGGACAGCATTCAGTTAAAATGAAAAAGGATAGGAAAATGTTGTTTCAAAGATGAATCTCTACTAATATGTAACAACAAGAGGGCAGAAGGGTCTAGTTTTGAATTACAAATGTGAAAGTCAGTCAAGAAACACCAGAGCTTAAGAAAACACTAAAGCAAACCGCTGTTTGTTTCAGTATGCCATATGGAGGAGCCAAAAGGCTGGGTCTGGGAAATTAAGCACTGGCTCAAACCACATCCACATCTCTCCCTAGAATCCCAAGAGATTGCACTCAAGCGCCAGGTTGTTCTGGGCACTATGCTTTGGGAAATGCTGAGTGCAACAGTAATGATGATAATAATAATGGCAGCTAATAAATGTTTACCGTTTTAGTATCTTACACACACTTTGGTCAGCGTTTTCTCACTCAATCCTCACACCAACCCTATAAGGCATTTTTCTTCCCATTCTGTATATGAGGAAAATACGGCATTAGAAAGGTTATATTGCCCCAGATCACACAGCTAGCTTAGTAGAGTTGGGACTAAAGCCTATATCTGAAACCCAATGCATCTGGAAATTTATCATGACACGCTAGCAAGGACTCCATGATCCAGGGAAATGTGACAGCTTCTCTGCTTAAATAGGAGCAGATTCAGGGGTCCCATTAAGAGGAGCTTAGGCAAGCAGCGACCTGTGGGGATGCTCCTCCACCATGAACACCACCAGCCAGTACAGCCCTCGGGGAAGAACTGCTCTGCCTTTTCATAGAGAAAAAGAATCCATGGATTAGAAGACCTTCCAGCAGGGAGAAGAATCAACTCATTTACCTCAGATTCCTGGAAATGCTCAGAGACCCAGCCGTCAGACTGAGAATTGCTACTCTGTGCGGGTCACCCAAAGACCCCTATGTGCCAGCACTGCAGTGGGCGCTTGGGTACAACTGTAGAGAGACAGACATGGCTCCTGCCCTATCTAGCCTACTAGGGGACAACCTACCTTGGGTCTAACTGGGCACTCCTCTCTTTACTCCAGAGACTGATCAGTGCCTGGGTTGGATGATGTAAGCCAGTTGTGTTCAGCCAAGACCAGCCTGTGGAAAGTCTTGTGTGTCTGAGAACTAGACAAGGGCAGCTTAGGTAGGTCCAATCCAGGACCCTCTGTACCAACCCAAGAGTGGACCTTGGCTATAGAACCCTGAATCTCTTTCACTGACACAGACCCAGCCCAGGGTGGGATTCCTCTGCTCACTGTGGTTGGCTTGAGTACCTGGACTCTTAGGAACTTACAGTCAGTCCACTGCTAGCCCTTTTTTGGACAATGTTTCTGCAGCAGAAGAGTATTCTGCATGAGAATAGAGAATCTTTATAAAACTGAAGCCAGAACATAGTACAAAGACAAGTCTTCCTTCACATCACTATTTTGAGATTATTTCCCTGTTTAGAGACCAGGTCCAAAGTCCTTGGTCTTCCAAATATTGGTCATTTAGCATAATCTAACTTTCTAACCTTTATAGCAAAGGCAGTGGTCCAGGCAGCCTGGCCCACCTCTGGCCTTCACTCAGCTATCTGTGATCTCACTGTCAATTGCACACATGGGCCTGCTTCCTCCTCATCCTCCGAGGCGCTGATGAAGGCCTGCTTCTTGGCAATGCTGTCCTTGAGTCCCCCACAGAGTGAGAGTCCTCCATCCCCTGCACTTCTGTGGCACTCACCCTGTACTCCCCTTGTGACATCACCACATTCAGTCTTTGTAATGTCTTGTCCACCTTAATCAAGTGAGGGTCCCTGAGGTTGGACTCTGCACACTCCTCCTTGCAGTGCCCATCACAAGCTGCTTTGCACACGGGCCACTATGCATGCAAAGCACATGTATGGATGCCCATGAGCTCTCTCCTTTCCTAACATCTCCTTTGCAGACACAACAGAAGGATCTGTAACAATGCTGACCTCAGTGGTCCTTGCCTTCTTCCACCAAATCTGAAGGTGGGGGGATAAGGTCTCGAGGATTCATTCTGGCCACCAGGCAGACATCATAATTGTCATGCATGAGGACATTGACAGCTACAACATTCCACTGGTTTTCCCATGGGTCCAACTCCAATATTTCTTTGGAGATAATCTCATGGCGATCTGAAAAACAGCAAAGTGGGAAGATAAAATATTATAGGGGTATTAAATTCAGAATTAATAATCACTGTATTAAATAACTTTCTCTAAAAGACTAAAAATTAACAACAACAACAACAAAAAAAAAACAATCAAGGTACAAATGGAAGACAGTTTTCCTGACATTTAAGAAACGAAGAAAGGCCAAGTTACAACTGACATTAAAAATTTATTGAAGACACACTGATTGTCTAAAGTTGAAAGGATGTTCCACTGTTATGTTAATGATTTATTGATGCTGAGGGCAAGAGACAAAACTGTTCTATTTCTATACCTGTGAAAGGAGGTATAGCTGGAGTCATATGACCTGTGTGAGTCATTGACTTCCTTGAGCTTACATTTTCTTTCTTTAAAAAAAAATTATTTTATTGGTTTCAGAGAGGAAAGAGAGAGAGAGAGAGAGAGAGAGAGAGAGAGAGAGAGAGAGAGACATCAATGATGAGAATCATTGATTGGTTGCCTCCTGCATGCCCCCCACTGGGGATCAAGCCTGCAATTGGGGCATCTGCCCTTCACTGGAATCGAACCTGAGACCCTCCAGACTGTAGGCCAAAGCTCTATTCACTGAGCCAAACCAGCCAGGGTGAGCTTATGTTTTCTTAAATGCAGACAGAGGTGCTAATACACAGCCAGGGTCCTTGCAGGAAACATGGCACACTCTAACTGGGTAATTTGAAGAGTTTAGAAAGGGACTGTTGGGAAGGTGTGGGCAATGTTGAGAAGACCCACGGGCATGGCACAGCACCCCAGGACTAAGAACAGCAAGGGCCATTGCCACCTGAAAGGTACTGGGACTTGCAGAGGGTAGCTGTCTGGAGGGTGCTGCCTGGCAGGGGCAGATTTAGGGAGGGGAAGAAGGGATGCATCCATCCTCAGCAGCCCTGCTGGGAGGGGGCGGGGAGAATACATAAAACGACTTTCCTCAACAATATCTGCTCTAGGCTCCAATTGGCTGAACCTAATTAGAAGCCAGAGGGGAAAGGAGCCATGAATGGAATCCATACAGGTTAGCTTTGAAAGACAGACCGCATGATGGAGAAGGACAGGGTGAGTCTGCAGGGGCAAATGAAAGAGTTCCAGCCCAGCTGTCTTTTTCACAACTGTGCTATGATTAGAGGACATAATATATAAAAAGTGTCCAGTCCTGGCATATAAAAATGAATGGCTATGTGTGCTTGTAAAGGATGTGTATTTTGTAATAGTTGGGTGTAGTAATCCATATGTGTTAATTAGGTCATGTTATTCTACTCTTCCTCACATTCACTGATTTTTGTGGGCTGGTTTGGTCAGTTACTGAGAGAGCTGCAATAAAAACATCCCAGTAAGATTATGGATTTCTTTTTCTCCTACCCACTTTTAAAAAATATATTTTTACTGATTTCAGAGAGGAAGGGAGAGGGAGAGAGATAGAAACACCAACAATGAGAGAGAATCATTAGTTGACTGCCTCTTGCATGCCCCATAATGGGGATGGAGCTTGCAGCTCAGGCATGGACCCTTGCCTGGAATCGAACCTGAGACCCTTCAGTCCACAGACTGATGCTCTATTCATTGAGCCAAACTGGCTAGGGCTCTCCTATCAACTTTCAGTGTATACATTTTGAGTCTGTTATTAGGTAAATATAAATTGTTATAATTTATAAATTTATCAGGGATACAAGATGGCAGCAGAGTAGGTATAAGTTATAATCACCTCCTCCCAAAACCAAACTGGAATTACAACTAAATTATAGAACAATCAACTTGAAAACTAGAGGAACATAAATCTCATAACCAAGGATTTATAGAAGGAAGAGAAATTGAGACTGATAGGAAGGGCAGAAATGTGAAAAGGGCTGGCCCCACACACAGTATGGTAGCTGAGAATCCAGAGGGATAGCTCAGCTGCAAAGGTCCCTTCTGAGCCCATACCAGGTACCCATGCCAGGAGCACCAGAGCTGGGAAGAAGAGCCCACATAACACCTGGCTGTAAACATCAGTGGGGATTCTGTCTGCCAGAGAGAGACCCAAGTCTGCTAAGAAACCCAGCCACCCTCTTAAAGGTCCAGCACACAAAATCTCATTTGCAGCCAAGAGAGGGAGGGTGGCTCAGAGTGGACTGTAGTCATGCAAGGAGAGATTGGGTTGTTTGGCTCTGGGAAGAGAGCTGAAGGGACAGCCACCAGGCTCCCTGTACTGAGTCCTCCTCTCATACTGCCCAATTTTTCCTGCATCCAGCACTCCCTCCATAGGCATCTGATGAAGGAAATGCACTAGCCCCACCCTCCTGATTCCTTGCCATCACACTCTGCAGAGGAGTCAACTGGCTATGGCCAGCCTGAGTTCATTATGCAGACTATCTAGGAAAGTTCTCAAAAAGGTCCAAGCAGGATCAGGGAGAGACTGAGTTGTGTTGCTTTAGGGAGAGAGCCATTTCCCCTTCACACAGCCAAATCTTGGTCTGTTAGAATATAATGGACTTTGCTGACCTCATCCTGATGATTCCTGGAGTCTCTGTCCCACCATAAAGGTCACCAGACTTCTGGCAGGTGGCAGGTGGCAGCTGGCATAGGTGTCCCTAGGATTTTTGCCGAGTGACTTCAGACCCAGCACCGGCACCGAGTTTGAGTCTGTATCAGTCTGGTGAACACCACTTGCCGCTACCTGGTGACTCACTGAGAACCAATCTCAAACAATGCATGTGCTACCAGAAGTTCTCACTGACAGCTGGCAGGCAAAAGCAGAAATGGGGGTGCCTTGGGCCTTTTGCTGAGAGGCCTCCAGGCTTGGAGCTGGTGGAAGCCAGACTTATTACACAGGTTGGCCTCTCCCCCACACACCCAGGCACAGCAGAGACAGCCGCAAACTGTGATCACTCTGTAGCTCCAAATAGCCAGCCCCACGCCTGCCACAGGCAGTGCCTGACATTAGCCAAACAAGTACTGGCGAGGTTGTGGAGAAAAGGCAATACCGACACCCTGTTGGTGGGAAGGCAGACTGGTGCAGCCACTGTGCAAAACAGTATGAAATTTCCTCATAAAAGGGAAAATGGAACTGCCTTTTGACCCAATGATCCCACTTATGAGTCTATATCCTAAGAATCCCAAAACAACAATCAGAAAGAATTTATGCATTCCTATAATAGCCAAGATCTGGAAATAGCCCAAGTGTCCGTCAGTACACGAGTGGATAAAAAAAGCTGTAGACCATTTACACGATGAAATACTACGTGACTGTAAAAAAGATAGAACTCTTACCCTTTGTGACATCATGGATGGACATGGAGACAATTATGCTAAGAGAAATAAGCCAATCAGAGAAAGACAAATACCGTATGATCTCACTCATATGTGGAATCTAATTAACAAAATAACTAATAAATAAAATAGAACCAGAGGCATGTATATGTGAAACAGATTGACACATAGAAGAGGAGAGGGGGATGTTGGTTAAAGGATAAGGAAGATGTAGTGTTTAGCCAAAGAATATATATGCAGAGTCCATGGACACAGACAACTGTATGGTGAAGGCTGGGGGGTTGGGAGGTGCAGGGGCTGGGTGGAGGTGGGAAAAGGGATGAAAAATGGGGAATATCTATAATAGTGTCAACAATAAAAAAAGAAAAAAAAAAAGAAAAAAAAGATTTCTTATTCAGTCCTATAATCCCTCTCCCATTTCTCCTCATATTCACTTTATAAACGAAATCTCATTTCATTCTTACAATATCCTTTGGAGGTTGTAGCTCCATTTTGTAGACGTGAAAACTCAAGTTCAAAGGCTCAGTGAGTTGCTCAAGGTCACTGAACACTAAAATTCATGCTTTTGCCAGTGCTCATATTGCTCTTAGGATTATTCTTTGGTGACTGGGTCAGTTAAGAAGCTCAATCATCAACACCGGAAGTTATAAAACATTTAAAAATATATCAGTACCTGCTCCATGGAATCCCCCGCAGACATAGAGTTTCCCATCCACTGCTCCGGCATTGGTAGAATTGGTTCGAAGAGAGAGCATGGCACTTGGCATAGGTGGGCCCTCTCTCCAGAAGTTCCCGTCAGGGTTATAAATCTCCACCACATCCAGACACTTTCGAACCTGGCCCTTGTCTCGACCCACGCAGCCAATGCCACCTGTAGAGAATGATACACAGAAATGAGTTAGCTAAGAGCAAACACTTCAATATGGACAGCACTCCCTTCCTGCTATGGTTTGTATCAGAAATTTGTGAGTTGCCTGATGTTACTTCTAAGCAATAGTGATATCAACGAGGTATTCCATAGCCAAATTTAATGTCATTTTTATTCATAGTGTCCCATCTGCTTGTTCTTATGCATGAGGCTGATTATATTGCTGGCTTTATATTCTACAATATCCAACATTGGTTGACACAATGAGCACTCCCTTTAGAATAGGAACTCCAGTGATGAGCATCGACCTATGATCCAGGAAGTCAAGGTTCCATTCCTGGTCAGGGCACATGCTCAGGTTATTGGCTTTGTGCAGGAGGCAGACGATGAATGATTCTCTCTCATCATTGATGCTTCTATCTCTCTCTCCCTTCCCTTACTCTCTGAAATCAATAAAAATAGATATGTTAAAAAAAAAAAAAAAAGAACTCCAGGTTTGAATGTGAGGCTGACTTGACCGGCGTCTGCTTTCCTGTTGATCATTAGCAATGATTTCACCAATCTTGCAGGCTAGGGATGTGTCTTTTTCCATTCCTCATTGCAAGCCTTTTCCTCTCTTCTTAAGTTGCATGAATTCTCTTAATTTCCCTATTAGGAAAGGGCCATTATTTGGTAAATTTAAGGTTTGGAATAAAAAGAAGGCCCAAACCCAAATGCCCAGTGTATCTTCCACTTTTGGATAATACAGGTCATTCAAAAGAAATTTCTAATTGCCTAATATATGAACAGCAATGTGCTAAGTGATAAGGAGTTTAGAAAGATGAATAAGGCATCTTTCTTGACACTAAGAAATTAATGGGCTGTCACTTCTCTTATCTATAAGCCATTAACAATTACATATACTACCCACTTAATAGGGTTTCTATGAAGAATAAATTTTTTAAAAGCAAACAAATAAATGCAAAGAATAAGCACCATGGAGAAGTATGATACATGTTCATTAAATAATAATGACTAATATTGTTATTACTCCCCTCACATGACATCATTTGATGTGAAGGTCTTCATTTTTATTCAATTAGAATTTATATATCATTAGTAGGAACTCATCCAAATAATGTTTTATTTTACAAAAGTTACCATTTATGTTATCATTCATAAATAAAAAAGAAAATATTAAAAAAGGAAATTATTGGGCTGGAAAGAGCCATGTATGCAAATAAATGGAGGTTATCATGGCAGGTACCTTAAAAGAGGTACAATTAGACTCAGAAGTCCAGAGACTATAACAAGTAACAGAAATAGCACGTATATAAGTATGACTTTCAGTACAACCCTCTCTGAGAAAAGTTCTTGTGTAAGAATTTCCAATGGACTGTAATAATAATACAAGTTTGTAGGCCATCATTTTTGTTCTTTCCTCCGAAGTCCCACAGTGAAAGTTCTTAAATGTCAGGACCATATTTCCTGACCTGAAATGTGGCTCCTGAGACAGGGGAATTCCTTGAAGGAGAGACACTCCTGCACTTGCAGACACTCTTCTCATCAGTGACCTCATTCCACGCATACCCAATCTAATATCCCTGATCAGCATGATCAATTCAAAAGACTTTAAGGGGGCCTGGCCATTTTGGTTCAGTGGTTAGAGCACCAGTCCATGGAGCAGGGGGTTGCAGGTTCAATGCTCAGTCTAGGGTATGTTCAGGAGCCCCACCCTTGTTGGGGTGTGTGCAGGAGGCAAACGATGGATGTATCTCTCTCACAGTGATGTCTGTCTGTCTGTCTGTCTGCCTCTCTCTTCCTCGTCCTCCTCCCTCCTTCCCTTCCACTCTTTCTAAAAAAATAAGTGGGAGAAGAATATCCTTGGGTGAGGATTAACAACAACAACAAAATGGCTTTAAAGTGCTGGCCTCAAGTGAAAGTAGCTCTCTTTCCTGTAGAGAGTCCTAGAAGAGTCCTTGGTGCTTGGTGTGTTGTTTATAGCAGTATCAAAGCCTAAACTAAGAACTGCTCTGATCTCATGGTGCTTCCTGAACACTGTTACTTAACACCTTTCATCTATCATTGCGCTAGTCAGATGGTATTTGCATCATCATCTGCATTTTTTATCTTTCTTCAGTACTGCATCCTCTGTACCTGACACCTGTGATGAATGAGGAATGAAACTTTTCCTATGCTTTCTCTCAGTCTGTCCAAGCGGATGTATTTGTATGCTCATTCAAGGCAGAGGCCACTTTTTACACATCGTAGATCTCACAGTGCCTGCCACTCAGTACTCAACGAACCCAAGGCTGCCGGGAACAGCTGATTGTCGCCATGGTTGGGACTTATGCCAGGTATAAACGGTGATGGAAGAGGACTTTGGAGGAAATCTTTTTTTTCTCTTTGCTGATGGAGGGTGGTCTGTTTCCTATCACAATATGAATTTAGGGACGGAGGCTAAAAACTCAGGAAGCTTTTAGCTACTTTCTCTCTTATCTTGCTGATAAGATAAATAATTTAGCGCATTTTAGTGCCAAGTCTGAACCGCAGTGTTTCCAAGGAAGGGACATGCTTTCCTCGGTGAACTGCAGAGCTCTGCTGTTCATATTACAGCCACCGTACAAGTTCCTGGAAGCTAGGCCACAAACACTGAGCACCAACATTCTGAATGCATTCAGAAGCTTCACATAAAAGCCCATTGGAAAAGCTCCTCCAACATAATGCATACAAAGAATGGGCATTAATCTCTTGGTTTTTGGCTAATTAGAATGCTTGTCATTTTATTTCTCTGTTACTGAGTGTATTTAAATATATTGTCAGTCCTTACTCTACAAAACCAACCTTTTATATATGTGCCTTTTTTTTTTTTTTAATATTCACCTGAGGATATGTTTTTATTGCTTTTTAGAGAGAGAGGAAGGGAGAGAGAGAGAAACATCAATCTGTTGCCTCCCATACACACATCGACTGGGATCAAACCTATGTATGTACCCTGACCAGGATTGAACCTGCAACCTTTGGGTATATGGAACTATATTCCAATCAGATGAGCCACCCAGCCAGGGATAAATATGTGCCCTTTTTATTTGGTTGGTAGATGGTTCACATGCTCTACTCCAGGGCAACAATGGCTTATAAGGCGTTCTGTCCTTGTTCTGACCATTAATATCTGAACACATTCTCTCTCTCACTTGGATGTAATTCCACAGTCAAGTACACTTTCAGCAAGATTATTAACAGCAGACTTAATGAGCTAAAACTGGAGGTGAATCCTGATTAGATAAATAATCAAATAAAAGCATGATCTCTGTTAATAAGTCAGCACCAGCACTACAAGAGAACTCTCTTGATGAGAAGAATCCTAGGGTAGGATCAGCATGTCTTTAGAATTTTAATGAGAAACTCCACATCTTTAATTAATATGCTATCAGGACCCAAGCTTGATTTTATTCCAGAACAGAGTAATGAATAGAAATTACCTTTTAAAGTCATACCCAAATGGACTTCAAATGCTAAATGTACACCTTAGTGTTTTCCTGGTGTGTGTGATGGGTTATGAAAGAGACTAGGCCTCCTTCTCTTTATCATTTCTATAGAGATAAAGACCTGCTCTTCTAGTGTTTGGCTGTTTTAGAGCCTATCCCTTCTGTGGGGTGTTGGGGAGATCTATCCCCACGAAAAACCTGGCAGGGAGCTGGCTGAGGGTAGGGGAGAAGCTGGCCTGTTCTGACTGGCTCCAAGGACTTGCCATCCACAGTTCTTTGAAGACTCTGGTGCTGTTTTGATGCCCTTCTGACTGGAGGGTTGCTTCAGGTAGCAAGCATTCAGAAGAGGAGGGGATTTTATAATCATTCTGACAGGCTCCTAAAGTGGCTTACACTGCTAAATAAGCTTTAGAAACAAGCTTTAGCAAATATATTTTCTGTTGTAGGCTCGCATGTGTCACGGGAAAAGCATGCAGGCTTTTTGGAAACAGACAGACCCTGGTTCATATGCCTGTGTCACCACTTACTAGCTGGACAACTTTGGGCAATATAATTTCTCTAAGCCTCAATGCTCTCTTCTATAAGTTAAGAATAATAATACCAATCTCATAAATTGTTGCAAAGATTAAATTATTAGTTAACTGTGTGTAAGAAACATGCCTCTGGTTCATCTTCATAGAAAAGAAACAGCATGTGGCAAGGCGGTTACTGAATTTCTCCAGAGCAAACAGGATGTGGGGGGTGGGAAGAGGGTATGAGAGCTTAGGATGCAGCCAATGAGGAACCGGAGGAGGAACTAAATAAAAAGGCTATGTTCCCTGCCTCATGTGTGCGCTTACCATGGAGAACAACTCTCAAAAATGTTATTAAAAGTCTCATTTTCACCCTAAGCAGTTTGATTCAGTGGATAGAGTGACGGCCTGCGGTCTGTGGACTGAAAGGTCCCAAGTTTGATTCTAGTCAAGGGCATGTACCTTGGTTGCAGGCACATCCCCAATAGGGGGTGTGCAAGAGACAGCTGATCTATGGTTTCTAACTCTCTATCCCTCTCCCCTTCTCTCTGTAAAAAATCAATAAAATGCATTTTTTAATTTAATAAATCTTTATTGCTCAGATTATTACAATTGTTTCTCCTTTTTCCTGGTAGTATATATATAAGGATGTATCACTACTAGTCTTACATCCCAAGGGACTTAAAAATTCCATAAAAATAATTTTGCATTCAATAAGTCAATGGATTTTCATTTACTATTATCTGACTATGCTCTAGAAAACAAGAAATAAAAGAAAAATGTTGACTCATTACAATAGGTACATATTTGCACTGGAATGCAAAAGGAAGGGAGAATATTTTGTTTTAATTGAGGCAAACTGCTGAGGGGGAAAAAAGTCGTTACATTCTTTTAGCAATCTGCTTCTTCTTACCTAAAACGTAAATCTCACTGTTGACTACAGCTGTACTGAATCGATACTTTGAGTACTTCATGGGCGCCCGCTCTGTCCATTGATCTTGCCTGGGGTCATACTGCAACAGTTTGTTGCTTAATCGATCAGGTTCTTCATCAGGAAGATCCATCTGCATGAGATATGACAACCAATATAATAATACACCATTTAAAGATCTCTGTGAGTACATAAATGCAATTAATCAAATCAAGTAGCCAAAAGACAGAAGTTAAGTGTAGCGACTGAAACTCTCCAACACATACATATCTCATGATATGTATGGGGTTATAAGTACATGTTAATATCAGAGGAATTTCTATTCTGTAACAATGGGGCTAAGGCATTGGGTTACAGCAAATCATCCATGATCTAGCAGTAGGACAATAAAATACAGCATTAAAAAAGATAAGACAGCCCTAGCTGGTTTGGCTAAATGGATAGAACATCGACCTGTGGACTAAAGGGTCCTGGGTTCAATCCCCAGTAAAGGGACGTGGGTGTGCAGGAGGCAGCCAGTCAATGATTCTCTCTCATCATTGATGTTTCAATCTCTCTCCATCCCCCTTCCTCTCTGAAATCAATAAAAATATATATTTTAAAAAAGATAAGACAATAAAATACAGCACTTTAAAAAAAAGCAACATCTCAAAAATGAAACCAAGCTTTTAAAAGCACTATTTAAAGTATAATTTTATTTTTCCAAACTTTATGGTGGTGGATTTTAATATAAGTGAGATCCCAATTTTTAAAACTTTTAAGGTATTTTTATTTATAATACATTTCTAAAGTCGAACAAAATTACAAAAACTTTATAGTATCAACCCCATAATTATGACCTATATAGGAATGATCTGAATTCAGTTTTCAAAATATATGGATTAATATAAATTATTTGCAGTATATTTTATTTACATTTTTTTTTAATGACTAGGGATAGGACAACTTGAATGACTGTTTATTCTTACACAGATGTATCTTCTCATAAGCTTCAGGTGAAGAAATTTTTTTATAACATGTCAGGAACTTCTATGACTTCAGGCTAAGGATGCTAAATGTCTTCTGTTTTTTGTTTAGGATGCAGTGTTCAACACAGAAATAATTTCCATATTTGTGAAAGTTGTGTGCAATTAATTTTAATTACTTTAAATGCATCAAGAGTTATGATCACTATGGTTACAATCACAAACCCTTGTTACTTTGCAATTTAATATATAGTATTAGGTACAGACTAGCAAAAGCTTCTGTTATGCAACAAATATTCACATGCCATTTGTTCAAAGATAATATAAATGATTAAATATTATTTTTATTCTTAAAATTTTCCTTCTAATGCATTTCCTTTAATGTATTTAATCTCCAATATAGTGAAAGAAAAGTAAAGAAAAGCTTCTAAGTTGTCTTTTGGGCTTATTCATGGAAAATTAACAATGTAATGAATAGTTATGAAAAAACGTAATTACAGGTAACTTGTCAGGTATCAGCTGTGATTAAACCCGTATGTCTTTTTGATACAGAGCATGAAATTTAAAATGTAAAGCTTACGTTTTTAAAATGAGCATGATATTCTATATGCATGGCAAAGTCCAAGCTTATGAAATAAATGCAAAGCATCAGTTTTATCGTGAAGCAAATATGGAGAAATAAATTATATAGGCAAAAATAAATTCAATTACGTTACGTGGGTGGACAAGGAGTTCGTAAGAGTTATTTCTATTAGGAAGACTAGATGGCCAGGGTAAAAGGCAGCTGGAGTGATATGATACTCCTGTGAGAGCCACAGACACTGCGGGGAACACCCAAGAGAAGACAAAGGACCGACCACTGCGGTCACACTCTATTGACTTGCCAATTTTGGATTGCCAGCATTTCATGGGGCTTCAATACAAACAGTATTCTGATTTCTCCTTCTGCTGATGCCCAGCAAAGGCACAACGTGTTTAAAATCACAATAGATTTGGTGGAAATGAGCATTCTGGTTTCTCTCTTAGAGTAGGAATTTTGAATGTGGAAAAGACCTTTAAAATATTCCTGCCTCATATCACACAGCAGTTATGCAGACAGTACTGGGATGAGGACCCAGTTTCTCTGCCTCCTCCTTAGATGCTCCCCACAGATAATCCCTCATCATAAGCATCTTTCATTATTAGAAAGATGGGAAGCGTCATGAAGAATACAGCATGAGCCCAGCCAATATGGCTCAGTGGTTGAGTGTTGAACTATAAGCCAGGAGGTCACGGTTTGATTCTCAGCTGGGGCACATGCCTGGGTTGCGTGCTGGATCCCCAGTGTGGGATGTGCAGAAGACAACCAATCAATAATTCTTTCTCATCATTGATGTTTCTATCTCTCCCTCTCCTTTCGTCTCTGAAATCAATAAAAATATGTTTTTTAAAAAAAGAATATAGCATGAATACTGAATTAAGTCATGTCTATGAATAACACATTTTATTTTATTTTTTAATATATTTTATTGATTTTTCACAGAGAGGAAGGGAGAGAGATAGAGAGAAATATCGATGAGAGAACATCAACCAGCTGCCTCCTGCACACCCCCCACTGGGGATGTGCCCGCAACCAATGTACATGCCCTTGACCGGAATCGAACCTGGGACCTTTCAGTCCACAGACCGACGCTCTACCGCTGAGCCAAACCGGTTTCGGCTGAATAACACATTTTAAAAATTCACTCTCCTAAACTGTTTTAACACTTAAAATCTTAAGTTCAGTTTTCTAGAAAAATAAAAATATTTTATAAAAAAAAAAAGTAAGTCATACTCCTTTAGCATACAACAGCCACAACATTTTCCAATACAGCAGCCAGACTCAGCATAGCCATGCCAATTGGGACATAGGAAATGTCTTAACCTGAGGGGTCCAGCCGCCAATCACATAAAGGTTGTTGTTCACTGTCACTACAGCATGACATGCCAATGGGAGTGGAAGGGGAGCCACCCTTTTCCAACTGTCCCGCTCTACGGAGTACTTATCAACACAGTTTGTGATAAGGTACTGGTTTTTAATTTTCATCTGTCCTCCTATAACATAGAGGTCATTATGGACAGTGCCCAGAGCATAGAGCTCTCGAAATTCAGCTGTGCATAACTTCTCCCAAAACTGGTTTCCTCGATCGTGATACCTGTAAATGAACAGAGCGAGAAGTCAGGATTAGAGTCAACATGAAAACAACTACCCAAGAAACACACTTAATTTTCTTTTCCAACTAAGGTAATATGATTTAGTTCTAATTAGAAAGGGGAAAAATCAATTTAAGATAGTGATACAGGTTTTTTTTTTGTGTTTTTTGCTTTGCCTTTTTTTTTTTTTTTTTTTTTTTTTTTGCAAGGACTGATGAACAAGATATAATGTGCATCGAAACAACCACACCTACCTGCAGAATTTTAGGAAAAATAATATATTGAAAAAGTACAGAATATCCAGGACTAGCCTTCATTTCCCAAGACTGGGGAAGAAAATCAAGAACAATAGGAGGCCTCGCCAGTTTGGCTCAGTGGATAGAGTATAGGCCTGCAGACCGAAGGATCACGGGTTCTATTCTGGTCAAGGGCACCTACCTCAGTTGTAGGCTCAACACCTGGTTCTGGTGGGGGAGCTTGCAGGAGGCAACCAATCGATGTGTGTCTTTCTCACATCGGTGTTTCTCTTTCTCTGTCTCTCCCCTACCTTCAAATCTCTCTAAAAATCAATGTAAAAATATCTTCTGATGAGGATTAACACACAGACAACAGGAAATTGTCTTTCAGCAAATCATTTGTAACTTTGCCATAAGAGAATAAGAAGTAAAAATAAACACAAAAAAGTCTCTTCTGTGGAATAGAAGTTTCAGTTTAATACTACATTAAAGAAATAAGTTTTAGAGCAGAGACTCTGAAAATATCTCCATTCAATGACTTCTAATGAGAGGATGTAGGATGCGTAGACTTAGATTGTTCTTGCAGTTCTAACTGGCTTAGAACAGCATCAAGCGCTCCCGGAGGTGTATGGAAATCCGCCTGCAGGCGTCTGTTGGGCATTTAACATCTATTTTAATCCCTTAGATATAATAATTTCAGTAATTTTTTCCATGAATAATTATGTCAGCTTGAGAAGAATCTTGGGAGATAGAGACATTAGGATAAATGATCTCTCAATTCCTCCAGAAGTCCAACACTTTAAATTATTATCTGTGTGTGTGTGCATGTGTGTGCGTGCACGTGTGTAACATTTTATAGTCACTGACTATATGAGTTTGTGGCTATACTTTGTCATGCCTCTTGATAGTGGTAAGTCAAACTTGATTTGGGACGGTCTAAGGACAAAAGTATTTATGGAGACAGAGGGATAAAATGTGTGATATTAGATCTGTCCTAGAAAATCCAGAATGTATTCAAAGCTAAAACAAAACAAAACAACGAAGAGTATAAAATATAGAAAATAAGAAAAAAAGTTGTTCTGTTTGGAAACAAAGAAAAATTTATGTGTGTGTTCTATATGGAGTACAATTTTAAGGTATAGACTACTGATTTTGCTTCAAACATTGACATTTGATCATATGTAAATGTCATTTACATTTGATCATATGTAAATTGACATTTGTAAATGTCAATTTGATAGGAGTTTTTCTCTATTGTTTAAGGTCAACTCTTTCATTTTCCCCCAGAAATGACTTTTTACTTTAGGCTTGACCAAGAAGTTGGAAGTTTATGCTCCTTTCCTAGAGAGTATGGCTGGCTTGTCTAAACTGAGCACAGACATTTATCAAACCTCACGATGGCTGTCTTCTATAAAATTTTAGGTAGGAAACCAGAGCCCCTAGCATCACAGGGGAATCACTATTTTATTTTATTGTTTTTAATATACTTTTTATTGTTGATAGTATTACAGATATCTCCACCCCCCTCCCCCGCCAACCATTTTAAATTGTACTGGATTTTATAAGAAAAAGGGGGGCTACTAAAGTAAAGCCAATGAATGAATATACATGAAGAACTAAAAAATGCATTTCGGTTTGCTGAGACATGATTCAAGAAAACATCCCGTGAAGGTTGGGATGTACATGTTTGCTGGGCAACATGCTAATTTGATTTTTAACATTTTGAACTGGGAATGGAGAGAAAAAATGCCCAGAAAAAACTGTAAAATTTGGGAGAATTGAGATCCTGCTTCCTAGCAATTTTCAGTTTTGGCTCAAATAAAATCATAAAAATTAAAAAACACTAAAATTTATTAAGAAAAAGTGGGTAATACATAAAAAAGGAAATAATAGTGACAAAACATTCAATGTTCTCAGAGGTTGGCAGTCTAAAAACAATACACAACCTCAGCTGTATATCGAAGTATGGGAAATAAGTAAAGGAGATGGAAAGGTATATGTTTTTGAAAAGAAATGACTGACTAGAGTATGAATCTATTTTCTTTTTTAGTAACAAAAATATATATATCTGCATGAAAATCTATGAAGTACAGAGTGCAAACAAATTGAAGAGCATCTGGAAAAATATAAAAGGGTTAAGAAACAGGAATAATATAGCAGGAATATACAATTGATTTCTCATACATCTCACAAAATTGGCACTAAATTGATCTTCAGAAGTGCTGTAAGATTTTAATTATTCAGACAACTGCTGAAAGTATCATTTAAACCGAAAGCAGTGCTTCTGATAATTTCATTATTTGCCTTGCTGACAATTTCATTATTGAAGGAAATGAAGAAGGTAACTGATATTTTTACCCTAATTCTGACCAATGTGGAGGAACTGGTTGGTTATGGGAACCTGGTTGAGATAGAGAGATAAGGTAGACATATGCTGTAAGAAAGAAAGCAGGCTTTCAAAAAAGTAAAGAGGTAAGATGTTTGAGGACTAAAACAGAAACACATTTTGATAGATTGATGTTTATTAAAAGAACACATATGCATATATGCATAGCCTATGCACACAGAAGGGAAGGCCTGGGGTGGAGCTGGGGCTGGGCAAAGGGGCATCTGTAATACTGTCAACAACAAATTTTTAAAAAATTGTGATGGCAGTTTTGTGGACAGGAGCTATTTAAAGAACCTGAGGCACTTTTAGCAAGAGGCTCTCAAGTGGAAAGAAGTGCACCTAACCAAGACCAAATAGAACAAGTGGCATGGAACTGTGAGAATCATGCTGGGGAAGGCAACGCTTCCTCTTCAGTAGGAATGGATATCCTGGCTCTTTAGTCGCTACCTGGTAATTCTGAAGAAGGCTGCTCCTTCTGCTCCGTGGCATGCTCTGCCACAAGGGGTATGGGCCCAGGCCACTTATCCAGGGCTCCGCATTCCCTTCCCTCTCTCTACTAGGGGGGATGAAACTCATCTCCAAAGGATGAATGTGAAAAAGGGGCAGGTCTATAGCTTGAGACATGGGATGCTAAGAGGTGACAGAAAGATAAGATTCTTTCTTTGTCGAAACTTCACAGTCCAGAAGAATTACTTTCTGATGGAAAAGTCTTAACAAACCCTGGTAAGAGAGTACTGAGAGGCGAAAGATATTGAAGGAGAGCTTTACTGTCCAGTATGTATTCCATGTGCATATTTATTACTTACCCAATTAGATGTAGGAACTGAATACTCACTGAATACTTGCCGAATGAATAGTAAACCGATGTATGTGTCCTCACATACAAGACCTAGGCGATATGCTACTTCTTAGCAGACATTCTTGTTCTTCTTACAGTTCTCGGATTGAAGCACTCTTACTTGGGCTACAAACATTTTATACTGTTGGAGGTTTTGGGAAGATCCACAAATTAAGGATGAGAAGGATTTCATTCTTATATGATATGTAAGAATGAAAAGTGACATATAACTAGTAATTTTTGTTTGAGAAAAAATTAGTACTCTGAAGCAGGAACTAAAATAAATCAGCTCAAAGGAGTCAGTAGAAATAAAGTTTTCTTCTGGTTAAAAGTTATATCACGCTCTTCAAAAACAAGGAAAGAATGAAAATATACAATGGAATCACAATGTACATTTAACTTAATGCAAATTCAACTATATGTTTTTAACAAATGGAGAGAAAAGTTTTTTAAGTATGGGTGATTTAATGATGAGTTTTACATATATGTAAAATGTATAATTACAGGATAATTTTGACTACATGATATTTAAGATGTGATCATTCTTTCAGTTGTATTTTCTGCCACTGTTGTTCATGTCAAAGCAAGATAATGAAAACAAACATAAATACAGTGCTAGATACAAACCTATAGATTTCAACATTCTTGTTCTTTTGTCTAGAGAGTTTAGAGGCACTTGCTTCTCCAGCCACAATTACAGCATTGTTTTCCATGACAACACCAGTGCACACACTTCCTAAACCCTCCCCATACTTGGGAGAGGAGATAAAGTAGGTCTTTCGTTGCGAGGGATCATAACAAAAACTGGCATCCCCATAGTTCCTACGTCTTGACTTGATTCCCGAAGAATTGTTGCCAATGCAAAGCAAAAGGCTAGTCGTCTCCATGCCGTAACGAAGATTTAGAGGGTGTGGTTGGGGTGTCTTGAAGGCTTTGAATGTGTTTTGAATGATGTCAATGCAATTTGCATCGCATAGGAGCATCGTGTTCCTCTTTAGGGCTTGTCTTAAAAAAGAAGGATTTATAAGTTCCAATCTGACTTGCTTCAAAAGCTCAACAAGATGCTCTTTGCGCAATTCTTGGTTATGATTTACCCATCTCAGAACTAAGTCCAGAATGCTCTCCTCTCTGGAAACATTAAGGTCATCAGATTTAATAAGCGTCAGAAATTGGTGCACTTCAAGTTCTAGTATTTCTTCATGTAAGCTCACCTCTGCAAAGTGCTGATATAAGTATTTCTTGGCTTGATCAGATAAATCTTCAGCTCCAATCTGCTTTGCAAAATAATAGATACCTACACAGTTGAAGGCGTCCATGTGGTCCATCATATATTTTTGACACACACTAAAGACTTCTTCCATCTGCATAAAGTAGGCAGCCATAGCTACAGTCTGTACGTTGGAATTATTGATCTCCAGCGCCGCGCTGTACATATAATTTAATATCACTGACACACTTTCTGCTGTGGTGTCATAGAGTACGACTTCTCTTTGAGTACATTCAATTAGTCCACAGGTGAACATAGCTTTGAAATAAGGACTAAAGGCAGCCAGGACCAATCTGTGGCAAGGAAATGTCTCTCCTTCTGCTATGAGGATCACATCTACCATTTCTGCTAATTCTCTCATGTTCTTAATTTTATTCAGTAAATTCAAGCTATGTTGGCATTTTTCTTTCCCCTCAAGTCTGAACTCCATGATACACTCTCCGGTGTTTCTAAGTTAAATCCTCTTTAAAATTAGCTTGATTCTTGAGGGGCTATTTGCATGTCTGATTGCTCACAGAGCAACAGAGATGTCTTATTACATTCCTGAGGGAAAGAAAAAGAAGCAGTTTTCCTCTAAGAAAAAAGTCTCTCATAAAAATGCAGCATTAGTTCAAAGAAGTATTTATAAATAATATTATTCATTCCAAACAGAATAGTTTAACTTTAAGATATCTACTTTTTCAGACCTAAAAATAATGTCAATTGGATAAACAGTAAATTTGTATTTTCCTAACCAGCAGCAGAGATTTTCCTAGGGGTGGGTGGGGGGGGACTGGAAAGTCCTCCCTCTCATGGTGAATGAAGACAGAAACGATAAGATGGGCATATTTTGCAGTTCCACTTCCCGTTACCAAATACAGCTGCCCTCCCTGCAGGCAGAGGGTTCAGAGGCATGAGGTAACGTTCTCCCTGGCGAGATGCAACATCACCTAAAACATTATGTGCACTTCCCCAAAATGCACCCAGATGTTAACAGGGCCACTTCACAAAGTCACAACAGGAGCCAGGCAGTTCTGGCTGAAAGAAAAAAACAAAGAGTCCTCTAAAGTTCTGCTCAAAACATTCAACACAGATGCTTTGGAAAGCACAACCCAATATCTGCTGATTTGAGACTCCACAATACTTGAAACTTAAACTAAATCATCCTACACTTAGGAAATGCAAAAAGTCATCAGGTTTCTCTCTCCTCCCTCCTTATCCAGCTTTTCTTTGTTCCCTATTTCATAGCGGCAGAGATGGCATCACTTCCCAACTTAGAGAGCATTAGTCTAATGAAAAGTCTCTAAGCTAGATGTGTCATCTTCATCTTCCCCAAGGAAATGGAAACAGGCTGTTTCAAGGAAGTTAATGCACAGTTTTGATTTATGAAGGACATTCTTAAAGTGAGTAACCTTAACATGAGGAGGGGATCTTAAATATCTGTTACCCTTTCTAGTTCGTACTTGGCTATAAGTTGCATGCAATAAGAATAAACGTTAATGGTAGAAAAGTTAGTACTAAGAGGTTACAAAAGGAGAGGAGGTGATAATTTCAACAAAGGGGACACAAAATTTGCAGCTGTAAAGTTTATACATTTTCTACATCTCTGTGATCCTGTGAAGAGTTAGAAATCTCGTGTATCTCAATTAGGCATGGCATTATTTTCAGTGCTAAATTAAAGTTTTTTTTTCAGGAAAGAAGTGTTAAGCATGATAGGAATGTTTAATTATATAATGGCAACTATAAGACCTATAAAAAGGAATTATAACAACTCGCCAGAATCTGTATACTTAAAATAGAAATAAACCCTTCTTGACAGATTTTCTGGCGTTAATAGCTCAGTTTTATTTCATTAGGAGATTAAGACTTTATTTGTAAGAACTTGCAGGTTAAAAGAGGTCATTATATTTCTGACCTCGTCTATAACACCTTATGATTAGCCTAAATCATATTATGAAGGCTACATTATACATAAGAACATCAATCAACTTTAAGATGATAGTTGTTATGTTAAGTTGAAAAGCATCAAAGCTTTCTTGTAAGAAAATACATATTTAAACATTTTTGGTATGGCATTGATGTACAAGACTCCCTCAAAGGATGTCAACATTAACAATGCTGGAAGGCCAAATGCCGCTTCCAAATACAATCACTAGATCTAAAATGCTGCAATTCAGACTCATAGTTTTTAAAACGTTGATCTTGATGTTGCTAGGACAGAAGTGAGTTGCTGAAGACCCAAATCATATGACTAAACCCTTAGGATTTCATATTTTTTTAAAAAAAATGTTTTTATTGACTTTAGAGGGAGGAAGGGAGAGGGATAGAGAGATAGAAACATCAATGATGACAGAGAATCATTGATTGGCTGCCTCCTGCATGCTCCATCTCCCACCCCCATCCCCTAACCAGGATCGAGGCCAAAACCCAGGCATGTGCCCTGACCGGGAATTGAACTATGATCTCAATAGGTGACCTGATTCATAGGTCAATGCTCAACCACTGAGCCACACCAGCTGGGTGGATTTCATATCTTTAAAGCAGGAATCAAACCATCCTTGTCAAATATTTTGGAATAAGGCTATTTAAAACAAAACAAAACACACAGATGGCAATAGTTTCAAAGAAAGGTTAAGAATGGAACAATGACTAGCACATTTTCTGCTTGTTTTCTTATAAACACATTATATATAATATCTTATAAATGACTTTGGGTTTCCCCCAGTAGCCAACTTGCCTTCATTTGGTGAAATTGGGGTGTGACTGACTCCCATTTCCCTCACCACTGTGACTGGTTCAGGGCTGGGTGTAAGATCTGAGATTGGCCTAATCAGAGTGTAGCTCAGGTCTCTGGTTCAATGGCGGAGGGTGTCCATGTGCTATACAGATGAGAGGTCTGGACCTGCTGCAGCCAATATTGTCATAAGCCAGTACCAGGGCAACATGGGGGAGAAGCAGAGAATCCAGAGCAATGGAGTTTGAAACATGCCTTACATCTGTATTTTTCAGTTTTGAGGGACAAGCCATTCCATTTCTTATTTAAGCTAGTTTGAACTGATATTGCTGTTACTGGCACTCAAGAGTCCTTATGAGTATATGTGGTATATGTAAAAACATAGAGAAAAGTTTAAGTAAGGTACTTTCAACTATATATTTTACAAAATTCCACTTTTGTTATGTTATTATACTTTCTATTATTACAGTCAAGTAAAAGAACCATAGAAACTTCTACTTATCATCATTTCTCCTTAATAGGAGGCAGCAACACTAAGACACTCTTCTGAGTTTACCTTTTTCATTAAATGGCCACATTATACAAATGCAGGAATTGAGTCTTGAACCCAATTCTACCTGACTTCAGTCAGGGCACATGACTGGGTTGTGCTTAATCCCTGATAGGGAGCATGCTAGGTCTATGTTCCTCTCTCACACCGATCCTTCTCTTACTCTCTCCCTCTCCGTTCCTCTCTGAAAATCAATAAAAATATTTTTAGCCCTAGCTGGTTTGGCTCAGTGGATGGAGCATCGGCCTGCAGACTGAAGGGTCTTGGGTTTGATTCTGGGCACATGTCTGGGTTGCAGGCTTGATCCCCAGCAGGGAGTGTGCAGGAGGCAGCCAATCAATGATTCTCATCATTGATGTTTCTCCCTCTCTCTCCCTCTCTCTTCCTCTCTGAAATCAATAAAAATATATTTAAAACAACAACAAAATATATTAAAAAAAAAAAAAAAAAGAGAGAGAGAAAACAATGGACAATATGGCAACAGTGGGCCCTTACTTCCCATGACAACAACAGCGTGCAGGACTTGAGTAGCCAGTTGCCACCCCTCAGATGGCACGTCTAATCATGTGCACTACCCTAGATGCACTGGTACGGACACATGCCTGATTCATTGAATAGGAATAATCATCCCACAGTAGGCATTTAATAATGGCCAGGAGTATAAGACAGGCTTCTTTCTTCTTTGCTTGAGGAGTTCACAATGTTTTTCATTCTCACCATGCTTTATACTTTTTCAAGAGCTTTAAGATGCTTTAAGGCTCATTAGTTCTGCTAAAGAATCCTGGGGGGAGGAGCGGAGGAAATGCAGGGCAATTCTATTCCTGGCTCTACCGTTAAGAGAGTTGCCCAGGGATAATTAATGTTTATGGACAATTTCTAAAGTGCCCGGCACTCTTCAGGGTTCTAGCAAGACAACCTGGAACAGAGCAACGCTGGCTGGCTCCTACCTTTCTGGAGTGCAGAGTCCAGTAAGGGAGGCACATGACCAAGTAGTTCATAGTTAAGAGAATGACAGCACCACGAAGGCTTCCAAACTGCATCATGCGCCAGGAAGCGGGAGGAGGACCTGGCTGTGTGGAGGTGGTCTGAGGAGGAGGCCACTGCTGAGCTGAGCTCTGCTGGCCAGAGCTGGCCCCAGGGCAACGCAAGGGAAGCGCTACACCAAGACGGGGTTTTAGCCGCCCCGCGTGTCCCCGCACTCGATTACTTACGCCTGGGGTACTGGGTACGGGTGGCCCCGCTGGCTCCGCAGGGCCGTGGCCGGTGGCTGTCAGGCGCTCCGCAGTCTGCAGGGCGCGGCGGCGGGCGCAGCGGGCTGGCGGCGGGCCTGGCTCCCGGGCGCTGCCTAATATGGGCTGCGCAGCCGGCGCAGTAAACAGGCGCCCAGGATGGCATCGGACCAGGTGCGCGCCCTGCGGAGGGCAGAGGAGGAGGGAGGCGCAGGCAGGTCCTCCGAGGTGACACCGCTGGCCTCCTCCGGGCCCCAAAAGGCGGGGGACTCCCCTCCGCCTCCCCAAGCCCGAGCCGCTCTGCGCTTCGCAGGCGGGTTCCCCACCGCACTCTCCAGCTCCTGGGGCGCGTGCCAGGGCCACTGAAGATCCGCCCGGAGAGGGCAGGGGCGGCGGACACACCAGCAGCCTGTACTGCGGTGCACAAAGAGGGATTCCTTCCCTGTAGCCAAGTATGAAATTGGAAGAGATACAGGGGGTTTGTGAGGACCCCTTTGGTTGATTGAAGGGCTGAGAGGCAGTGGGAGGTCTCAGAAGAAGCTACCTAGAATGAAGCTCTGATTACTCATAACCCAATTGTTATTTTTTAAATATAATTTTATTTCTAAATTATAGTCCACATATAATATTATGTCAGGTGCACAAACCAGTGATTACACATTATATAAGTTATTAAGTGATCACCCCAATAAATCTAGTACCCATTTGACACTGTACATAATTATTGTAATACTAGAGGCCCAATGTATGAAATTCATGCAAGAGTAGGCTTTCCTTCCCCCGGCTGCCAGCACTGGCTTCCCTCATAGTCCCAGCTTCGTCTGGAAGGTGGTCCTGAAGGACATCCGGAAGGACGTCCAGTCTAATTAGAATATTATGCTTTTATTATTATAGATTATGGACTGTACACCCTATGTTTTACTTTATATCCCCAGGAC